AGTTACGGTCGAATCCTATGGAGATTGCCTATGTATCACGACCCCCGTGAATCAGACCAAGCGTAGTTCTTGCAGAATAAATGTTAAGTAGAAGCAAAATATTTTTTGGGATTTTCAATTTTATTGATAGCAAATACGTCTATTACAAAGACTCAAAACTGACAGATTAAACAACTAACAGACTCTAATGCAGAAAAGAACTACAGACTCCACCATCCCTATTCTACTTTAAACGAAAATACAGACTTAATCAACTGACTGACTTTTACAGACTCTAGTAGAAAAGGAAATACAGACTCAAATGACCAACTCTAGTAGAAAAGGAAATACAGACTCAGAAGACAATCATGAATACATTAAAGCTCCTGGTGCCCGCGGGACATCGTTTGGTCTCGCCGCGGGCCTATATGCAAGTTCCCCTTGAAGTCTGTCCAGGTCACTCATTATCTGCTTCACAAATATCATCACCGATGCAAAGAAGGTGGTACGAGTCATGTTTTCGCACACTTGGAATTTCCTAGTAATGGAATGGGCAACGGTTAAGATTCTCTCTCTGATTCTGCATTTTTCTTGAAGCAACCGCCCTATCTGTTGGGCCCTAGCCTCCAAAGTTTGCTCGGGTACCTGGTTTTGTTCCTGGAGTTGTTGCAAGTCCATTTCTAATTGTGCCAATGTCGTGTAGCAGTGCTCTCTTTCAACTTTGAATTCTTTTGCCTGTTTGATCATTCTGTTCTCTGTGGCAGTGACCTTTTTCTTTAATTCCGTGACCTCATTATCGTATTCGTCTTTCAACTGCTTAACCATGCGAGCCCGTTCTTCTGTGTTTTTAGCCAGTTGTTTCCGAACCCCGGCTAATTCCCTTTCTGCTTTGTTGAGATCAAAACTGTAGTCATTCACTTTTTGCCTTAGATTTTCTATAAGCTTTGCATCTTTGGCACTCCTGACGGGATTTTCGGCCGCTATCTTCATCTTTTGGATCTGGGCCCGTAAGACTTCATTCTCTTTGGCCAAATTCTTTCTCTCACCCTCATCAGCCGCGGCTTGCATGCTGTTTTCAAACTGGAGGTCTTGGACCTGTTTTTCCAATGCTCCTATGCGGGTCCTGTATTCATTTTCTTTAGCTAACCAAGCCCATTGTTCTTGCGATGATTCAGCAAAATCCTGGAGGTGAGGTCTTTTAGCCGGCCTCCCAAATGCAACTTCCCTTCTATACCAAGCATGGTACTCAGGTGACACTTCTCCTTTAGATCGATCCCGTACACAAGTATTCGCTGCCAAGTATTGACATTCGCTCCAAACCTGGCGAACCCTTGCTTCAGGAAACTGTCCATCAGGACCAATCTCAACCACTTGGATGCTAAGAGCGTCGTCTTTCAGCACTATCTGGCATCTCCCGAGTTGCCTTAAAACCCGATACGGAGCATAAGGCTGAATGCTTTTAAGACCCATCAAAAGGAAGTGCGGGCCCATTGCTGGCATATATATGATTTTATCAACAGGCAACCATCCAAATGTCCACTCTATTTGACTAGCAGTGAGGGACCGAAAGTATGATGTCCAGTCCGTGAATCCCTCGGGCAAGCTGACCCCCTTAATCCTTATGTAAAACTCCTCTATACATGTTTTCTTTGTGGATCCATAACTCAGGAACTAAGGACGATGGCACAGGTGTTCGATCATCCACATTTGCAACAATAGATTGCACCCCTCGAAGAAGTCTCTTCCGACATTGCAGGTTGTAAGAGCGCGGAAGATTTCGGCTAATATCATGGGCGCAAGAGTGCTTTTGGCTTGAGTGAGTAGAGTGCTGACGACCCCGGATATTTTTATGTCAATGTTCCCATCTTTCCTCGGGAATACCAAAAGCCCCAGAAAAACTACCATAAAAGCAAAACGTCTGTGTTCTTCCCATTTTTGGCGGTTTCCTTTGCTACATATCTTGTTTTCTGGGTGGTTGAAACCTCCTATGTGGCCATATCTGTGATATATGAAGTGTGGAGTACAAAAGTCGTTCGCCAAATCTGCATTGTGGACCGTCCTGCTTATCTTCAGTGAGTCTAAGAATCTGTGTACAGCTACAGTTCTTGGGGCCACTAAGTACTTGTGCCTTAAAGGAACCTCATCTTTCCCGATGTAGCCGGCCATTTCCTCTAGTGTCGGGGTTAGCTCAAAGTCCGAGAAATGGAAAACATTATGTGTCGGGTCCCAACATGTGACCAATGCTCTGATGATGTCTCCCCGAGGCACAATCTCCAACAAACCGGTAAGCCCTTTCAAATATTTTTTGACTTCATCTTGCCCTTCTCCTCCTAGGTCGTTCCACCACAGACGCAACTCCAAAGGGATTTTATGCATGATTGAAAAAGGTTCATTTTGAGTCGTGCTCATCCTACACATTTATTAAGGTGATATAATCACTTATTTCGACCTCAAAGGGGAAAAATGACACTACTTTGTTCAAATTTCCAATTTTAAAACAAACGGCCGCTTTTGCAGTTACGGCCTTTCAGCACTTCGGGGGGAAGATTTTAAGGCTGTGTCTGCTAACCGAGTGGCTGTTCTTGCAAAAACAGCCTTCCGGCGCCCTTTTAGGGACGTTTGGCTTATTTTAAACAAGAATGGCGGCACCTGACTTATTCATGACGAAATTAAAAATTTTGGCATTTTTTGGCTATTTTTGCAAAAGGGGAGGTTGGACCCGATGAGGGTTGCCTACGTATCTCACATCCGGTGAGAATCAAACCTGCGTGGTTCGGGCAAATAAACCTAACTATTTTTGAAAACAAGACTCTTTTTGCTTTGTTGGAAAATACACTATTTCTGAAAGCAAGATTTTTTTTTTGATATTTTCTTTTGCAGTGGCAAATAAACAAACTAAATTGAAAATAAAACTCTTTTTGTTTTTCTTTTCTATTGGCAAACAAAACAAACTAAAAAACTTTTCTTCTTTGTTCTTTCATTTTCTCAAAAATCCGGCAGCATTTCGGCACTACTTGGACATTGGTTTTTCTATTATAGGTAATTAACTTTCTACACTGCTATTTTCTCTTTTCCCCTTTTCGCTTTTCAATTTTCTAGATATTCAAAGCCGGTCAGCATGCGAGTCTAAAACAGATAAATGCACGAGTAGGATGCATCAGGATGGTCCATTATTCCGGGTACACCTGTCCTAGACGGACCCAACCCCTGTGTTGAGTCCCCTAAGTCAAAATGCACGTGATGCAGATAAGCATTCCTACTAGGGATCCGGCATGAGGTCAAGTTATTCTAAGTTCAAAACCTGGGTATATGTTCTAGACTGTGCACCCGAGCGGACAACTCCAGTCGAGGAGGGGGCTACGTACCGGGAACCAAAAGGCCATCCGGCTTAGTAACTTGTCCGGCCTCTTTCTTATTTTAAGGTATGACACTAACAGAATAGGGAGTCTCCACCAGTGAGCACATCCCCGGAGGTGAGAAGAGAAGGGTTTCGCCACAGTTTATATACAATCCAGATAATATGAAAGCGGTAAAGCATTTAGCACATTTAGCAGGAAACATGTAGGAAAATCAGATAAAGCCAAACATAACAATTACTCTAAGCTCGAATTCTTAAACCCTGAACCGAAGTTCTGGGTTTGTATCCCCAGCAGAGTCGCCAGAGCTGTCACACCTCCATTTTCACTACACCCAGGAAAGGGCGTAAAGGAGTTTTTCCACTTAAAGGACAATCGGAACGGGATTTACTATTAAAATTCAGAGTCGCCACTTGGGAGATTAATGGTGTCCCAAGTCACCGGTTGAATCCCGAACCGAGGAAATTATGACTCTGCTAACAGTCCGCGAACCAGAAATCCGAGTAAGGAATTCTGTTAACCCGGGAGAAGGTGTTAGGCACTCCCGGGTTCCGTGGTTCTAGCACGGTCCCTCAACTGTCATATTTGGCTTATTTATCTGATTTCAAAACATGTTTTAGCTTATGCTTTTTAACTTTGAACCGCTTTTATTATTATTATTTTAACAGAATTGCAACGTCGTGAAAACACGTTTCGAACCGCGTCACATAAATGCACCCGCGATTTTTGACACATTTGGACTTCGTTGGATTTGGATTTGGGTCACATAAATGTGCACCCGTATTTAGGAAAGTAAATTATTAAAAGCGTGTCTAAAGTGTCTAACGCGTTATTATCTTTGGGGAAGGCCGTGAAATTCGCTAAACGGCCCATCCCGAATTCTAAGTGTTTTAATGTATACATTTGTTGAGGGCCCCGCAATTTATGTATTTTTGTTTAGCGAGGCTCATCTTATTTATTGTTTAAAGGTCCAACCTAAAGTAAACTACGATTTTCTATTTAATATTGTCTCTAAAGGCCCTAATTAATTAGCACATCCATGTATTATGACTAAGATGTTCAAATGGGTGTTGAATTTAAACAAAGCAGCCTCAATGAGGCTTTCAGCGGTTTGGGCCTTAAAACTGGCCCTAAACAGATCCAATCCTGCCTGTAAAAAGAAACAATGCCCAACCGTGGGCCTCGTGTAAACGAAAATCAGGCCCAAGCTATATTTAACTAAAGGGAGTCCAGTTTAGCCCACACACAAGTCTACTTCTGACCTTAATCCAATTTTGCATACATATTCAACTCGTGTGCACTTTGGGAATCTAGCATACTTATTCTGAAAATTTCAGTAGCTCACTAATTGCAACCCCCTACGCTTTATGAAATGTACTTGCAGACTGAACCTAGATTTAAAGCATTTATTTGCATAAAATTATTAAGCTATGAATTCCACAAACAACTATAGGAAGCCATGATTAACTAAAATGATATTCAGCTATATGACGAAATCAGTTCAACTGCTCGAATCCAATCCTATTACTACTTATGATTCTCCTGTTAACACACGTGAAACTAACCTTAATATTCTAAATCTGAAAGCTAACAGCGATTTAATTATCCTGAGCCTCATTTTCAACATGCTCATAATGAACAAATTAAGCTATCAATTATGTTAAAGCACACGAAAATAACCAATCAAATTAACTACAGCAAGTCCGAAAAATTTCATACAGTCCAGTTCAGTTACAACATTTAGCTATTAAAGTGAAATTAATCTAAACTAAGCTGATTACATAAGCATCAGGCACAGAGCGATAGGATTTCCATTTTTCAACTTCTCAAGTCAGATATACATCACCACGGTTTAGAATTTGTACCTGGAAATTGCAATATAGGAAGAAAGGATAGGTCAGCAGCAGCAGATGACAAGCAGATGACTCAAACACAGCCCAGAAACACGTTCAAACCCAGGAAATGTGCTAAACCAATAAGATCAGTAAATCAACCAAACACAGCTTGAATAAAACCCAAATGAACTCGAGATTGACCCAGGACACTTCAAAAAAAACTTCAGCAACTAGATATTGATCTAGAAGATGCAATTCAACAACCAAATCTCAAAATTAACCTAAGATTTCCAATAGGACAGCATTTTGGAAGTTTTTGTGCTATTTTTTTGGTTTTTCTAGACGTTTTCTACTGTTTTTGGGTTTTTGAATGTTGAATTTCAAAATCAGATCTGGAATTAGAGAGTACCCTTTGGGGGAATTTTTGGATCTCCAAAACTTCTTCTCTAAGGCACTATACACTGCCTTTTATAGGCCAAATGAGGGGCAGCCCTCAAATTTTCTGTTTACACTCTTAGTCCCTCTTTATTTTCAGATTAGTCCTCTATTTTTTAACTTGTTTCTCAAGTTAGTACCCTAAGTTTACTGAAATATGCACAAAAGTCTTTCTCTAGAAGATCCTGGAAAATTCTAGTGTTAACTACCATGTTCTACCCAATCCCAAATACCCAAATTATCCATGAACTTACACTAAAATTGTAGCTATAACCAACCAACTTCCTAAGTTCTAAATTGAACTTCGACTGAAAAATATAATCCTAATTCACTACTATCTAATTATCTATTAAACTTGGCAATAAACAAATTAAAACTAATCAAGCGCAAACAAAGTCGATTAACAACTATTGAGACACAAGATTAAACTAATATCCCAATACTAATCTGACCAAATCAAACTCATCATTCAACTACAACCAAGAATCAAATGAACTAAAATCTATATGGCTGAACAATTAAGCACAAATTAAATCACCAAATCAGAATGGAATCAAACAAATAAATGGGAATTAACCTAAACAATAAACACTACGGGAATAAACCAACTCATCGAGATTATACCTACACATTTAATACCTAAACATTATACCTAAACATTTAGCTAACAGTAACAGACAGAATTAGACTGATATTAAACTAGGCTGTCAATTAAAACTACGCAGAACTTGAAACAACATTTCAAAAACACGAATCGAATTAATAAGAACCAGAACCAAAGAAAAACAAAAAAATAAAAAGAGAAGAGAAACTCACTGATTTCAGACTTGATATGATTAAACCGTAGAAATTGATTTTCGGTTAATGTTATTTGTCTATTTCGTCAGAAATAGGCATGTAACATTAACCAAAAATCAGTTGACTTCAAAACTTCCCAAAACAGGTTCGAACCCATGAACCCTAGATTTGAAATTCGGCAAGTTCCGACGGGATTTGAGGGGTTTTGGTTAGGGATTAGGGATGAGGGAGGTCAGGGGAGTGTAGGGTATGAATTTGGGGCCGTTTGGACAAGGTAAGATTTTGGCCGGAGAGTTTAGATTCAATATTCGAGCCGTCTGACTATGATTCGAGGAAAACCAATAATAAATATGGAAAGAGGAGGACGAGGGGAGATTGGGGTGTTAATTTGGAGTGGTTTGGGTGGCGGCGCCGCCGTGTGCGGCGGAGGCGGCATTAGGGTTTTCAAAATTCGAGGGGCTTGGGTGAGATTTGAGGAAAATAAATTGGGGGGTTGGAATGGGGAGGGTGATTGGAACCCATGGTGTAAAATTGGGGGCGTTTGGTGACCGGCCGCCGCCGTGAGGCGATTTCCGGCGGCGGTCTAGGGCGGTAGACGGCGGAGGGCAGTGGTGTTAGGGTTTGTGCGAGTTAGTCTCTGAGAGAGACGAAACGGGGGGGTGATGGCGTTTGGACAGTTAAATATTAAGTGACCCCGTGTTCTCAGCCGTTAGATCGAGAAACCTTGATGGTTGAGATTCACGGGGCCAAATGGTGTCGTTTGGTTGAGGGGGGGGGGGGTAACTGGTCCGGCTTAAAGGGGATTTGGGCTTGGACTGGGGACCGGATTTGGGGGTTTTGGGCATTTGGGCTGGGACTTGCACGAAAATGGCCCAAAATTGGCCTGCTTCCTTATCTCAATTTCAATTCCTTTTTATTTGTTTTTCTTCTTTTCTTTTTGTACTTTATTTACTTATTTGTTTTCATTTTGTATTTTTATGTTTTTCTAATTTTATTAAAATGCAAAATCAAAGACCCACTTTGTTTCCAAAATTAAACTAATTAATTCCTAAAACTCTATTAAATCCTATTTAAAAGCAAACCCATGACAAATTCAACAATTAACAATTAAAAGTTCAAAAAATGGACTATTTTTGTTATTTTGTTCTAAAAACGGCTTAACCACTAAATAATCCCAAAATGTGAAATTAGATCCTAAATGCAAATGTCATGTGTATATTTTTACAAAATGCAAACAATTAACAGAAAACAACACAAAATTCACAAAAGTGTAAAATAATGAAAGGAAAATTATTTTGTTTGAATTTTTGGGAGTAATTCATATATAGGGCAAAAATCACGTGCTCACAGCCACCACAACTGCCCTGCCCAACACGAAGAGTTTTCGTGCAAAGATAAGTGAGCGGAAACGAGCGATTTTTGCCCGTTCGAATACTCCGTGTGAAGAATTTTTGAAAACCGTCTGACCGAACCCTGCTTCAAAGGTTGCCTACATATCCTTGGCTAAAAAGGAATCAGGTCAGTGTAGTTCGGGAAGGTTTGGTAGCTGGGACTACCGGGAGCTGTGATTTCACTGCTGTTGCTGTTGCTACTGCTCGCTGACCTTCTTATTACACCATGGTAAAATAAAAAGAAGCTAGCCTAAGCTATGATCTACGAATTACAAAAGGGTCCTATCTATGTCTTCTAACTTGCTCTTTGTGTTGCCTTGAACTTGTTATTCTTCCACTGGAATTCTTGCGTTGTTGCCTTGCATTGTGATTGGAGATGTTTCGCCATTCCTCCGAGTGATGCTTGGCCGCTGAGATTTGAAATATATGCCTCCATTCTTCAGGCGGGCTCCTGATTGCTGACGCTTGAAAAGTATTCCCTTGTTCTCCAGGTGGGCTCCTGATTGCTGAAGCTTGAAAAGTATTCCCTTGTTCTCCAGGTGGGCTCCTGACTGAAGCGCTTGAAAAGTATCTCCTTGTTCTCCAGGCGGGCTCCTGACTTCAACAAAATAGATAAATAAAGAAAAAATTTCTGCCCCAGTGTGGTGGCTGGGCACATCATGTTATCAAATATTAAAAATTAAAGGATAGAATTTGAATTGTACTTCCCTTGTTCTCTAGGTGGGCTCCTGACTGCTGAAGCTTGAAAAGTATTCCCTTGTTCTCCAGGTGGGCTCCTGATTACTGAAGCTTGAAAAGTATTCCCTTGTTCTCCAGGTGGGCTCCTGATTGCAACAAAATAAACAACAAAGAAAATTTTCTACCCCAGTTTGGTGACTGGGTGTAGCATGTTATCAAATATTAAAAGGTAAAATTGGAATTGTACTTCCCTTGTTCTCCAGGTGGGCTCCTGACCGCTGAACTTGAAAAGCATTCCCTTGTTCTCCAGGTGGGCTCCTGACTGCAACAAAACAAGCAAAGAAAATTTTCTGCCCCAGTTTGGTGACTGGGTACAGCATGTTATCAAATATTAAAAGCTAAAATTGGAATTGTACTTCCCTTGTTCTCCAGGTGGGCTCCTGACTGCTGAAACTTGAANCAAAGACCCACTTTGTTTACCAAATTAAACTAATTAATTCCTAAAACTCTATTAAATCCTATTTAAAAGCAAACCCATGACAAATTCAATAATTAACAATTAAAAGTGACAAAAATGGACTTATTTTGTTATTTCTTTAAATTTGTTCTAAAAACAGCTTAACCACTAAATAATCCTAAAATATGAAATTAGATCCTAAATGCAAATGTCATGTGTATATTTTTATAAAATGCAAACAATTAACAGAAAATAACACAAAATTCACAAAAGCATAAAATAATGAAAGAAAAATTATTTTGTTTGAATTTTTGGGAGTAATTCATATAGGGCAAAAATCACGTGCTCACAGAGACAAGATTAACAGGCCCTATAGGAGAAAGGTGATGAGAAACTTTAGCTTCGTTAAAGACGATACGTCTCCCAACTCTTGGCCTTGTTACCAAGGAATCATCCTCCTCTTCTTCGTCGGAGCTATCATCGTCTGTGGTTTTCCTTTTCAGAAGAATATCCTGAGCACTTTCTAAGGAAAGTTGGGTTCCTAAACGAGAGGCCGCAACTGCTTCAGCAGTAACACCTCGAATAGCAAAACCTGACAAAGAGAAGGTTGAAAGTTAAAGCAGTAAAGGGAAAAAAAATTTACATATGAGAAAGACAAAAACTCATACCGTGAGTCTTTACTTTCCAACCATGACGATTGGAAATAAATTTCCAAGACCTAGCCTCTAGGCGCGATCTTCAACAGTTTATCTACCCAACCATGAAATTTGGGAATGTTCTCCACAACTCCCTTGGTTGCTAAAAAGAAAAAAGAGGGAAACAAAGTTAAAGAAATTGATAAACTCGAAGGAAAGAGATACGAGAGAGATGAAAGACTTACGTGCAAAGTTCCACTTCTCAGGGAAGGGAACGTTTTGTTCACCCACTAAACCAACTGTGGGAGCAAAAACAAATCGGGCATACCAGCCACGATTCTTATCATCTTCTGGGCTCACCAAAATCCTCTTACTCCTAGCCACTAAGGTAAAGACGTCATTACGAAAGAGTCTAGGGGAGTATAGATGAATTAGGTGAGGAAAGGTGAAATTAACGTTTGCCAAATTGGCCAGATGCCTTAAACAAGCGACAGCCCTCCATACCAGCGGGCCAACCTGTGCTAAACAAACTTTGAAGAAGCGACAGAAATCAAGAATCACTGGGTCAGTAGCTGGTTTAAAATCAAGAGTAAAAGGGTATGTTTAAACAAAAAAAAGACCAGTCATATAGGAGGTAATTCTTTGATTTGGATTGGGGATTACTATGGGAAAATCATTACTCCAGTTACAATCTTTGCGGACTATGGGAGCTAAAATCTCTGTAATCAAAGTGGGGTAAGCATCAGCACGATCTAGACCAGAAACTTGGGTTTGAAGTGATTGTCTATCGTGGTGAAAAGATAAATCGTTAGGGACTATCTCTTCTACCAAGGGCTCCTGTAATGGTTCAGAGGCCTCCTTGCTCTTAGAAGATGATTTTTGGGTAAAAGAACCTCTAGTTCTAGAGGAAGAACCAGGGTTAGGAGAAGGCATGGCAGAACCGCCACCACGAGAGGATCCTAAGCTACAAAGTCTCCCACCCCTTCTATGTCTAACAGGGGCATTGGGTAAATTGTCTAAAATAGGAACTCTCTTAGGGTTAGAGTTCGAAGAAGACATGATGAGGAAGAAGAAGAAGTAAACAGAGATTTGCACAGTTTAAGTGTTCGAGAGAAAAAGTTTTGTGTGGAAGAAACTAAAAGGTAAAACTGTATTTATAAGTAATCGTCAAAAAGTGAAAACACAGTAATGGAAGGGTTACAATAATGGTAACTGGTCCTTCGTGAATAGTGGAGCAGTAAAAAAGGACCTTAAAAAGGGGTGCAAGTTGCAGAATCAATAAGGAGTTGACACGTGTGAAGAACATTAAATAGATGTGACCATTGAAGCGTCAATCTTGTCACAGCATTAATGATGACAAAAAAATTCTCCTTTTATGAAATTCACTTCCCAAATAATCAACTGACGAATAAATGGAAAGTGGGGGGACTATCTGTATTTGAAAAAATTTACTGTGCATATTGGAGGTGACGTGTCATGACACGTAGACTGGTCAAACAGTCAAAGAATTAAGGTTGGTTAACAGATATGAGCAACAACAGATACGAGCAATGACAGATACGAATAAGTTAAATGAAGAAGGCACGAGCGGTCATACAAGTAACTCGAAACGCTCGTACCTATTCAAGACATTTAAAGGTCAATGATCATGAAGAGTCAAAAGAATGAATCTGACAGCAAAAAAGAGCCCAGATACAGCATTTAATGAGTATTAAATACAGGAAACATTAGAGAATATGTATTTAACATATATGATTGCATAACGTAACATTTAAAGTCATTAATTACTCATAATTGTTTTATTATGACAAAGGTAAAGTCTGTATTCCCAAAATGGCTATAAAAGGGAAAGTCACAAACGATTGTAGGGACAGAGAAAAAAAAATACTATTGGAATATACTTTGATTTATTTGCTTTCTGATTATATTGTTCACAAATTTCTTTCTTTATATACTCTTTTCCGATTATCAGTAACCCGTGTTCTTCTAAATTCAAGTTTTGACCTAAAATCTAATTTTTGGTTAAACATTAGGGATGTCATCTTTTTTAGTTTTTTTATTTCTTTTATTTTAGGCATTTGATATTCAAAAATTTACTGGCTCGATCAATTTGGATTCGTGTCGGATAAGCCCATTAAAAGAGGGGAAAGGACTTTCTACGAAGGAGTTTTTTTATATTTCCACGTTGATGAATGTGCTTCAAATATCAATAATATAGATAATCTTCAACGGAAATGCTGAGAGCTTCACTTTGCCCATTATTATCTACACTTTGACAAATATGATCATTCATTTCTTGTTGACGACCTTTTTCAGTAGTGTAACTTGTAACCAACTTTGCATCAATGGCCATGCCAGCATCTGAGGCCACCTTTTGCACAGACCTCGGCGACATTCCACGGTCAACATTAACCGGTAACATAAATGGGAAGTTTAATTTACCTAATGACGACGATTCCCGGAGACAATAATAGGCTATATCATGTGCAACAGCAGCAGCTTCTGGGGTTGTATAAGTGCCAAGCCAAAGACGTTCACTGCTACCTGGAACTCGAATTTCCGACACCCATTTCCCCCATTTTCGACGCCGAATTCCTCTGTATTTTCTCTGGTGTGCACTTGTGCTGCTACCACGTTCATCTGAGCTGCTCATTTTGGTAGAAATGATGTGTCAAATTTTGTGACAAAAAGGTGTTTAGTTTGCTTTGATTTGTTTGAACAAAAAGTAGTGTTGGTTATTTATAGGTTGAAGATTGTGCAAGTCAAAGGCTCTTTAAACGAACCATGTGGACATAGAGTAAGCACTAAGGTCAACGGTCAAATTCAAATGGGAGTATGCAAGTTGGAGCAAAATAGACCAAGTTTAAATCCATTTAAAAGGGCAAACTATTAGAAAGAGGGAAAGAAGAACCGGGAAATGATACTGTATAACCGCT